TTATTATTATTATTATTATTATTTTTTCTGTTATTTGGGGTGACAGTGGATGCTGCTGTTTAATTGTTTTAATTGTTTCCTGCTTTTAATTAACTTTTATTTTATTTTACCGATTGTTTTGTATTTTTAAATTGTATGCCTTGGCAGGTTTTTATTTCTATTTTATGCTTTGATTATATCTTTGTACAGCGCTGTGTACATTGACAGTGCTTTAGAAATAAACTTTAATAATAATAATAATAACAATAATAATAATTTCATGTTTCATATTTGCAAGCACTGAGGCTGCGGCTGGGGGGGAGTGTTTCCCCAGCAATTTATGCTACTGTGATTTGTTTCTTGAAACTCAAAATGCTGCTCTTCACAGTGATCAGGTTTACAGATTTCACAGCATGATACATATCTTCTAACTAAATAACTGTTGTGCAGCATGTGGAACAAACTGAACATAAAACATCCTACAGGCAACATTAGAAGAAACCATTGTTGCACATGATCTATGCAAAACCAGGCATGAACCATCTCAGTTTAAATGAGGCTTGTAGTATAAATCAGTTAAAGAAGCTAATTTGGGTAAATACCATTTTAAATGGGTAACAAAAGAGAACAACAAATTTGTACAAGGCATCAGATAATTATAAAGTAGTCGTCTGAGATACCCCACCTTTCTCAGTAGTAGTACTATCTTAAATAATAATAATAAAAAAAGTTTTGTGATGCTCCTACAAGATGCTTTGATTGGGCAACAATTCAAGGGAATACAACTCCAGACCAGTGAAACTGTCACTAACTGCCTCCCAATATGCTTGGAAGGGATATGAGTTTTTGTTTGTTTATGCTGTTGTGAAGAATACGAGGAGATTATGCAGGAGGGTTAATGTCTAACCCCTTGAGAACTATGGTTTTGTGAAATGCAACTATGACTCCATTGAGTTAATGGACCAAAATTAAAGGACCAGTGTTCTCTTGGAAACATGTAAAAGACAAAGAATATATATGCATTGTTTATGAACTTAATATATGTTGCTCTGTCATTACATCCTGCCGAGTAAACTTTACTCATCTTCAGATTTGCTGTCAGGACTCTGTTTCTACACACGGGTTTGAGGGTGAATCTGCAGAAGAAAACTTAACACCAAGTGATTTAAACCAGGGTGGAAATTGCATGCCTTTGACCTGGTGTTTTTTGTTGACTTACAACACCTAACAGTCCCAGAGAGATAGCCAATTGTGCAGGCCAACAACATCTGTCAGAGCTCACAATTCCCCCCTAATTTAGAGCTCTATAAGAATAGTATTTTGAATTATCCACAAAGTATCCAAGGCAAAGTTCCGGCTGAACACTAGTTACTCAGATTGAAAACATAAGGTACTGAAAATCCACTGAGAAGGCAGACCAACACTTTCTTCCCATTCCCAGCATTTTTCTTTTCAAATGCACAAAAACACTGTATCTGATGGGTTATGTGAGCCTATTTCACAATCAAAACTACTATTTACTCATCAGCTTAGAGAGATTTCTAAAGTGCATGGCTGCCGTGAAGCAGCAAGCATGTGATCTGAACACAACTAAAGACACAAGATATTACAATGTACATCTCTAAAGACTGAGATCCTGTTGATTGTAAGACAGACAACAATTTTCTTTAGGGCTAGGATTCCTTTCAAAAACAATGGGGCATGGCTTTTATGGACAGTACCTGTGATATGATAGCTTCCCCAACTGTACTATGATTCATATCTTTTAAACCAGGGCTAGGCAACTTAAGGCCCAGGGGCCGGATGCGGCCCCCTGAGGCCTTTGGACCGGCCCCAGGCTGGTCCTGCCACCGCTGCCGCCCCCCCCCACTGCCACTGCCGCCCGCCATGATGATATTGTTTATTGTTGTTATTACTTGTTCTTGGGTTTTTCTTGGCAAAATCTCCACAGGGGTTTTGCCATGGCTTTTCTGGGGCTGAGAGAGTGTGCGTGCATATTTTTTAAATTTTTAATTTTTTTTAAAAAAATATTTATTTATGTATTTATTTATTTATTTGGTGCTTCGGCCCCCAAGGTTGCCAACCCCTGTTTTAAACAATTAAAAAAAATTTAAGGGTAAGGGCTCTATACTCCATTTCTTTATCATTCACAAGTAAGAGAAGTCATGAGATCTATTCTGAAATGCAGAGCTGCAAATACCCTTATATCAACACCTCACCATATCGTATGACCTTTCATTGCCCATGATCCACACATTTATGCTTTCCATCTATTATTTGGATGTTACATGCTCCTGGTCTCTTGCAGTACTGCACAATTCTTCCCTTAAAAAAAGGCTGAAAGGCCAACCCCACAGTGTATTATGGGGTACAAGGTATTGTGCCACTGGTATCAACTTCAGTTTTGACAGTACTACAAATGAAATATGGATTCTGTGTTAAGTGGAAAGTCACAGCATTTTATACACCATAGCTGAGTGTGAAATGTGTGTCCCTCCAGATGTATTTCAACTGCAACTCCCAACATTCCTCACCACTGCAGTTGGAACTTTATGTTCAACACCTGTTGAGTCACACATTTCCCAATCACATACTAAAGCAATTTCCCACCCAAATATTTCAAACATCTGTTGAAATGGTTTTCTAGCCCTGACCTACACTCATCCAGTGATGTGGGAGAATCTGTATTACTTTCCACAGTTCCCTCATGTTTGAATAACAATCAGTTTGCTAATACTAAATCAGCCACTTGTCCAACAGAAGAGCACTACTTCAAACCACAACCATATTATAGCATTCCTAGTTTGGGCATACTGCTGTGTTTTGAAATTTCATGATTTCCACCAATGATTCAGGGTACTCCCAGAAAGCAGGCTCTTAGCACTACCAATCAAAACTCATTGGGCAGATAAAGGCCCATCTATGGGCCTTTGCAGACTGCCAGAAATAATGCAGATTGAGGCCACTTTAACTGTCCTGGCTCAGTGCTAAGGAATCATGGGAACTGTTGTTTATTGTGGCACCAGAGCTCTCTGACAGAGAAGGCTCAATGTACCAGAAAAAAAATACAATTCCCATGATTCCTTAGCACTGAGCCAAAGCAGTTAAAGTGACCTCAATCTGCATTATTTCTGGCAGTCTGCAAAGGCCATATGTTGTTCTTGTTGTGTGTGTGCCTTTAGGTCATATCCACTTATGGTGACTCCCTATCATTCAGTTTTCATGGCAAGTTTCTTCAAAGGGGGTTTGCTATTGCCATCCTCTAAGGCTGAAAGAATGTCACTTGCCAAGGTCATGGTCTAACTGGGATTCAAACCCTGGTCTCCAGAGTCATAGTCCAAAGCTCAAACCACTACACCACATAGGCTCAAGGAAGTATCAATACAGTTGGAAAACTGTAGTTTGGTGAGGCATTTAAGAACTGGAGCTAGTAGAGAACTAGTAGAGAATTCTAAGTACCTCACCAATTATACATTCTAGAAATTCATAAGAGGAAGCCATGGCTTTTAAAGTATTTGATGTTATAACTAAGACATCTATCAGATTCCTATAGCTGTGCAGTGTACATATTCCCTTAGTCTGCAATTTTCCCTAGGTTTTTTATTTTTTGTGGATAAGGTAAGGAGAAGAGAGGTAAGGAGAAGGAAATACTGCAGGGCAACAAATGCAACATGTTCTTGTCTGGACTTCAAGTCAGTGAATGTGGCAGTGTATGTAGTGCAGAAAGTACCCTGTCTATGTGTGGTATCCTAAGCTATTCCACTATATTTTGTGTTTAATTGATTTTTTATTAATTATCACTTTTTATATATATAAAATTTTATTTATATCCCGCCCCTTTGAGATCAATCGGGGTGGCTAACAACAGTAAAATATAACACACAACAATAAAATCTAGTTCCCTCCCCCCCTTAAAAAGTTGTTAAATCAGTTACAAATTAAAACATACAATATAAAATACAACAATAATGTTTAAAAACAATTCCACAGTGCGGCAACGACTCTTCATTACATTTTAAAATTGAAAGCTTGGAGGCCCACTTAAGGGAAAGTTTTTAAAAGAAACAAACTTAAAATTCATTCCTCAAACTGATCATATCTACCATCAAACATTGGGAAGCAATTCACTAGTCTATTATATCTTTTCATATCAATCACATTCAATACATACCTATTTTCATACAGTGGGCCCTCCTTATCTGCAGACTTGCCATCCGCGGGTTTGAGCATCCATGGATGGTAAGCCCATGGGGGGGCGAAAGAGGTAAGAGGAGGAGGAAGGCGAGGCGGGAAGAGGAAGGGGTGGCGTGGGTGAGGAGGAGGAAGGTGGTGGCTGGGGCGTGTCCCTCAGGGGAGGTTCCTATGGCCGGGGCTGGGCCGGGGTCTGTCTGCCCAGCTAGTTCTCTCTGCGATCGGAGGCCTTCGCTGAGGTGGAGGCTGGGAGGGTTGTGTCTTGCCCACCGCCACAAGGGCTGGCCATCTAGCAGGAGCCCGGATGCCCCATGGCTGGGATGAGGAGGGAGGAAAGGGAGGGTGGTGGCGGAAAGAAACAAGGAAAGAAGGAAGGAAGGACTCAGCTGGAGAGGTCCGCCTGAGGTTGAGGGGCCTCAGCCATGGGGGATTCTGGGGCCAGCTGTCCAGCTCCATTTGTCAGCAAGACACCGGCAACGGCAGAAGTTTTAACTCCCTCCTTTCTCCTCTTCCTCCTCCTCTGGATCTGGCCAGCTTTGGAATGGGCAGCCAAGGGCGGAGGAGTGACTGTGCCAGAAGCAGCAAGTGCCATGGTCAATGGGACTTGAGCACCATGGATTTTGGCATCCGCAGGGGGATCCGGAATGGATTGCTCGCAGATACTGAGGACCCACTGTATATCCTCCTTGTAAGTCCTACTTCTCCTCCCTTTCCTTTTCTTTATCCTCATTGCTGTAACCTTCTCTTCCACTTCATCTTCTTCCATTTCATTCCTTTTCTATACCTCATGCTCCTTTTTCAACAATCTCATCATCCCCACCCCTCCTCTACCTATTCTCACACTCACAATCTCTCCTTCACATCCTCCTACCCTCAACCGCATACTTTACACTCAATTTCCCCCCTCTTTTTCTCTTTCCCTAGTCTTCCCGTAATCGTCTTCTTAGCCCTCTTCCTTGCTCCACCTAAAATAGCAACATACATCCCACCTTCTACCTATACGTCTTATTTTTGCTGTTTTTATTGACTTTCTTATCACAACACTATATTTGTTACATTGTTACAATTATCATCTTATATTTTTATACACAATACCTTATCTGTTTCTTGAACCTCCCATGTTCCTTCTCAATTTCTTCAAACATCCAAGTAAGTAACTTTCCGGTTTCATTTCCAATTTCTCATTCACAATTATGCCAATTAGCTCATTGTTCATTGTCCAATATTTTTTAGCATATTTGCAAGCCCACCAACAATAAAAGAAGGTTCATGGGGTCTCTCTACATTTCCAACACCTATTCTCTGCATTCTTATATGGTTTTGCTAATTTATCTGGACTTAAATACCACCTAAAGTACATTTTGAACCAATTTTCTCTTAGATTCTGTTAGGCTGTGCATTTCAATTCCTGCTTCCAGATTCTCTCCCATTGTGCTATTTGAATTGGGTGCCCTATATATTTTGCCCAAGCAATTAATAAAAATCTAGAAGAAATATAAAGCTAGGATAATCCAAAAACTTCCCCTGTGGGTATCACCACAAGAAGCTTTTTATTTAAAAGAAATGTACAGGGAAGAGAAATGGTGCACCTACAAGGATACTGTGGAGATACGTAAAGGTAAGATAAAAATAAGATCACAAGAAGAAAGGCTTTTATATAGGATGGTTTCAATATAGGCAAATATATGAAAGAACCGTGATGAACCTAAAACCTTTTGGTATAGAGAACAAAAAATTGGAATTAGATAAAATATTAGAGGGAAATAAAAAAGCAATAGGTTTGCTTTATAAACTGCTATTAAGCTTTGAAATGGAAGAGGAGGTAGTCAACGACACATGATTTATTCCATTGTATTTTTGGGGGATATTTAACTTGGACTTTCTCCTCCATTTTATCCTTTTTTCTTCAAATGGGCTTCATTTGAACACTCAAATGTGGTCATCACCATGCGTTAGCTACATACATCTGGTTTCATTATCAAAGATTTTTCCTCAGTTATGGCCTTTGCAGACTGCCAGAAATAGTGCAAATTGAGTCCACTTTAACTGCCCTGACTCAGTGCTAGGGAATCATGGGAACTGTAGTTTATTGTGGCACCAGAGCTCTCTGACAGAGAAGGCTCAATGTCTCAGAAAAAAAATACAATTCCCATTATTCCCTAGCACTGTGCCAGGGCAGTTAAAGTGGACTCAATTTGCACTATTTCTAGCAATCTGCAAAGGCCCTTAGACAAGAGTTTATTGCACTTAGCAGGCTTCTCTTACCAAGTGCACTCACCAAGTTAACACAGCATTCAGGGTCAGCTTGAGCTTGTGAAAGAGGGACTCTTCTTTTCATAAATCTCCTATTTAAGCACTTCCCTTATGACCAGTGAAGATAAGGAATTGCGATGCAGGTGACTGGAGCAAGGCACAGATCATCAATCCTTTCTCCACAAACATGCAGCAGACTGCAGAAAGAGAGATGGAACTTTCTGTCCCTCCTTCACCATTCAAAACAGTAACAGGTTAGTATCTTTTGTGGACTTTTTGTTTTGGGCAAAGATGCAGCAGCCTACTAAATAACTGCTTTGAAGAATACAGTTATGTCAGTCTATTGCCCTCAGAAGCTTGCATTATTAACCAACTAGAAGACTTGTTTTTACCGCACACACAACACACACACAAAAGATTTTTACCTTCTAGGGCTCTGGAATCATTTTGGAAAACCTGTTGCCTTGTCCTGTGCAAAGATTTGAAAAGTTTCAAGACCTATCAATGGAAGAGAACATTAAGAATTTTATGTAGTTCATTTGCAAGAGTGCTCACCCCACTTACATTTTGAAAAACTCAGTATCACAGATCTTTTCCAAACAGACCGAAAAAGAGAGAGAGAGAGAGAGAGCGCACAAAGTAACAACTTTAAAGTTTTACAAATATGTAACAGAGCACTACTGATACTTTCCCAGCCAGCCTTCAATATACATCAAGAGCACAGCTTGTAGCAGTGTGCTAATACAAATCCACAGCTGGTAGGATGGATCCCATCATTTGTACCATTGGTATGTGTTTCCATTTAAGAGGCCAACCAAAAAAGGGAAGAGGTAAACAATATTAGGCAGTCAGAAACAAAAAGTCTTTGGAGGTATTAGCCTGTTTGAACTAGCAAGAATGGTCCTACTCACATAAGCTGACTTTGGCAGCCAACATTTTTAGGGCAAAAAGCTGCCACAGTTTACAAGAGAGGCAAAAGCTCCAAATATATATCATATGTATATTTTTTAAAAAGGAAAAGAGTCACATCAACAACTCACACACTATGCACTAGCAAACTCAAACATTAAAAAAAAAAAACACCAAACACACACAGACAAATCACAGGAGTGTTAAAATACTACTCACTCCTCAGCAGGGTTTTGTCCTGCATATCTATCAGTCTAGCCACACTGCAAAAATAAAGCAGTCTGATATCACTTTAATTGTCATGGCTCCATCCTGTAAAATCCTTGGATTTCTAGTTTGATGAGGTATTTAGCCTGGTCTACCAGAGAGCCTTGATGCCCCACTAAACTACAAATCCCAGGATTCTGTAGTATACAAGAATGACAGGTAAAATGATATCAAAGTGCTTTATTTCTGCAGTATGGATACATCTTCAGTTGCCCAGGTATTTCAGTTTTTAGAAACCCCAGCCAGCCTGATCAATGGTCATGGAGTTAGGAGCTGAAGTCCACAACATCTGGAGGACTCAAGGTTGAGAACTACTGGCCTACAATATTACAGCAGTTTCATAGCTCTCTAGCTATCCATCCTATGAAAGGCTGGGTTTTGTAATGGGGGGAGAGGCTTCTCTTCTTAAGAGACAGCAATCTAGAGTTGGGTAGCAGTTTGATATAGTACTTCATAAACTACAAATCCCAATATTCCACAAAATAGTCATGACAGTTAATTGCTGTAACTGTGTATTGCAAATGCATGCTTCTTGGTGGCGCAGTGGTTAAAATGCCTGTATGGCAGCCACTCACTCATAGACCACAAGGTTGTGAGTTCAGTAGTAGCCAGGGCTCAGGCTAGACTCAGGCCTGCATCCATCCGAGGTCGCTAAAATGAGTACCCAGCTGTTGGGGGGCAATGAGCTTACAGTTGTAAACCACTTAAACACTCCATGTTGTCGTGTGCCTTCAAGTCATTTCCAACTTATGGCAACCCTAAAGGTGAAATTATCATGGGGTTTTCTTGGCACGATCTGTTCAGAAGAGGTTTGCCACTGCTATTCTCCGACTTGTCCAAGGTCACCCCAGTGGGTTTCAGGTCTCCAGAGTTGTAGTCCAACACTCAAACCACTATGCTTGATCTGCATAAAAGCAACAGGCGACAACACCTCTTTGCTTACCTCAGGGGTAGGCAACCTTTCCCCTTTAAGGGCCGAGGGACTTCAGCTCCCAGAATCCCAGCAGCTATTGGCCAACATGGGACTATTAGCCAACATGGCTGAGGCTTCTGGGAGCTGAAGTCCCTCGGCCCTTAAAGGAAAAAGGTTGCCTACCCCTGGCTTACCTGCTTAGAAGTAAAGCACTAGTGAACACAGTGAAACTTCTATAGCAGGGGTAGGCAACCTTTCCCCTTTAAGGGCCGAGGGACTTCAGCTCCCAGAAGCCTCGGCCATGTTGGGCAATAGTCCCATGTTGGCCAATAGCTCCTGGGATTCTGGGAGCTGAAGTCCCTCGGCCCTTAAAGGGGAAAGGTTGCCTACCCCTGTTCTATAGGATCATATTCTTCCCATTGCAGTGCCCTTGCAAAGAAGGTGCTGCCACTTTCACTTGACCACACTAAGCAGTGAAAGAGGCTGCTGCAGTCCTACACATCCTTCCTTGAATTGAACAGGGTTTACTTCTGAATAAATGCTTCTAGGCTGCCAATGAAACAGTCACAGCAATGAGCCTCTCTGCCTTGCATTTAACACCCCACAAAACATTGCAATGCTGTTGGAGGAAACAATGATGAAAAGTCTAAAGCAGCAGCGGGAGGCAGTGTGGTGTACTGGTTTGAGCGTTGGACTAGGGCTCTGGAGGCAATTTAATTTTATTTGATGTTCAACTGAAAAGTTGTCAAAGGAAATACAAATTTTATATTATCTTATAACATTCCATTATATAATTTCTAATGTACCAGACTCGCTCCATAAGGTAGCAAAGGATCACAGGACAGCAAGTATTTTATTACTGCGTGACACTTTGTACGTACTTTATTATTGTATCTATTAACAACACTTTGTATTCCTTTTTTTTTTTTAAGTATCTTGCTGGTCGTTGATCGAATAAAATGTATGTATGTATCCCCAACACACACACAAAACCCTAACTGCATTTTTTCTCCAGCTGTTCCCAAAATGCTGACCAGAAGCACTGTCACACACTCTCAGCCCCAGAAAAATCCCGTGACATATTTCACCTTAAGTCAGAAACCACTTGATGAAGGCACGCAGCAGCAGCAGCAACGACGACAACAAAGGAATGGGAAATGTTCGGCTTCAGTGGTTAGACTCCTCTCCAGATTTTGTTAGAGTGCAGCTCTCATCATCCCTCACATCTGGCTGGGGCTGATGGGAGTTGTAGTCCAACAACATTTGGAAAGTGGTCAATAACAATCTCAGATTCTAAAAACAAAATCTCCAGAGTCCTACCAACAGAAATAGCAAGTATATTTCTAAACCACTTATCAGTGCACTTAAGCACTAACTGGTTTACATTGCATAATAAACCAATTGCCCCCAATAAACTGGAAACCCATTTTAGCAACCTTAGAAGGATGCAAGCCTGAGTGACCCTGAGCCCCTGGCTGGGATTGAACTCAAAACCTTGTGAGGGAGTGACTGCAGTACAGGCCACCAGGGCTCCTATCCTACCCAAGGCCTACCTACAAACCCTTAGACCAGGGGTAGGCAACCTTTCCCCTTTAAGGGCCGAGGGACTTCAGCTCCCAGAAGCCTCAGCCATGTTGGCCAATAGTCCCATGTTGGCCAATAGCTCCTGGGATTCTGGGAGCTGAAGTCCCTCGGCCCTTAAAGGGGAAAGGCTGCCTACCCCTGATCTATATCTCTGTTCCCCCCCTCAGAGAACACCACACCGCGTTGCCATGGGCCTTCCCTCTCCCGGCCTCTGACCTCCCTTTTCCTCATCGCCGCAGCCCCGCTCGCTGTCCGAACAAGAACAGCCAGAGCCTGGGACCACGCCCACTCCCGCTTGTCCGGGCTCGGCATGAACCAATAGGAAACGACGCCTTCAGGGCAGCGACCAATCAGCTGCCTCCTGTTGCATTCTGGGATTTGAAGTTGAGGGAGAGGGCACTTTAGAATTCTCAGCCAGGGAGCTCTTAGGCCGTTCTGAACTACAAGACCCAAAATGCATCAGGAGGCAGGCGGGTCAGTTAAAGGGGAACAGTGAGGCTATATAAGGCTGTCGTGCGGTAGAACTACGGCCGAAGAAGGCCTCTGGAAGCGAATAGCAGAAGCCAGCTTTGTTGTTGCTGTGGTGCCTTCAAGTCGTTTCTGATTTATGGAGATCCTCTCATGGGGTTTTCTTGGGAAGATTTGTTTAGAGGGGGTTTGCCATGGCCTTGCCCTGGGGCTGAGAGAGTGTGACTTGCCCAAGGTCAGCCAGTGGGTTTTTACACATATATATATGCCTCATCTATGATATTTTGCCTCATTTAGGGTCCATCAGTGACTCCAAAGTGAGCATCCACGCTGTAAAAACAATGCACTTTGACACCGCTTTAAGTGCTGTAGCTCCATCCTATGAGAATCCTGGGATCTGTAGTTTTACAAGGTCCTGGCCCTTCTCTGCCAAAGAGCGCTGGTGCCCCCACAAAACTACAAATCCCAGGATTCTGCGGGATGGAGCCACGACAGTTAGAGCGATGCCAAATTGGCTCATTCCTACAGTGTAGACGCACCCTCAGTGAAATTCATGAGGAGACTCGAACACAGACAGAGAGGTTCGCATTACTACCGCAGTTTACTGCAACTCTATGCGCCCTAAAGCCGTCTTTTTCTCTTCTCCAACAGACTGAAGTCGCCGCCTGACAGGAAGGGGAGTGACGGACAGCAGAGAGAACCAATAAGACGGATGGTCATGCTAATGCGACTCAAGCGAGTAAGAGCAGCACGTTCATTCGCTCACCTGCCCGCTCGCTATTGGTCGAGCGGGAGAGAGGGGCGGGAAGCGAGGTATGGAACGCTCGGCGGGCACAAGTGCGCAGGCGCGTTGGCGAGCGCCTGAGGGAAGGAGGCGGCGATGGCCGACGAGATCAGCAAGGCTCAAGTGGCCCAGCCGGGCGGAGACACCATCTTCGGCAAGATCATCCGCAAGGAGATCCCCGCCAAAATCATCTTCGAGGACGAGAAGGTAAAAGAGGAGGCCTAAAGGTGCGGTGGGCAGGGCAGCCCAGTGGTCAGACCGCCCTTAGGCGCGTCTGCACTGTGAAAATTATCGCGGTTTCACACCGCTTTAAGTGTTGCACCTCCATCGTATGAAGTCCTGGGATTTGTAGTGTCGCAGGTCTTTAGTGACTCAATTGTTGTTATTGTTGTTGTGTGCCTTCAAACGTATGGCGATCCTAAGGTGAAACTGTCATAGGGTTTTCTTGGCAAGTTTCTTCAGAGGAGGTTTGCCACTGCCTTCGCATCTGAGGCTGAGAGAGTGTGACTTGCCCAAGGTCACCCAGTGAGTTTTCATGGCGGAGCCGGGATTTGAACCCTGGCCTCTAGAGTCATAGTCCAACACTCAAACCACTAGGCCACACTGGTGGCTCACCAAACTACAGATCCCAGGGTTTTGTAGGACGGAGCCATGGCAGTTAAAGTGGTGTCAAACTGGTTTATTTCTTCAGTGTAGATGCAAAGATATACAACTCAGCGCAAAAGTTAGAATCATACAAGCCATTGTATTCCCTGCAAACATTAAAACCACAATAAACCCACAATACCCACCCCATATAGCAAACACCCCACTTAAAAAAAAAGCCATCCCATGATTACACATTAAATGTCTGCCTGAATATCATTGGGAGATACACTGGCTCTGGACTTGGAAGTTCCACTTACTGAGGCTAATGGTTGATAAATCTTAACAAGAATAGTTCCTTCCCCCTCTTTTTTTTTTTTGGCCATAGTGACTCAGGGTTTCTGGGAGTCGTAGTACAAAATGTAACTTTTCCAATCCTTGCACTCAGCCTCCGTACATTTGACTCGATGGCTTCCCCGCTCTTCCACTCTTTTCCAAAAAAGGGGAAAGAATGATGTGTGGCGTAAGGGTGCATCGACACTGTAGAAATAGTGTAATTTAAAAATATATCTTAATTGATTTATCTCACACACAGAATGTAATTCAACATGAAACCTACTATATCACAAAAAGTAGTGCAATTTGACATCACTTGAAGTGCTGTGCCTCCAGCCTACGAAAACCTGGGATTTGGAGTTTACAAGATGTTCGACCTTCTCTGCCAAAGAATGTTGATGCCTGACAAAACTGTAAATCCCAGGTGGAGCCCTGACAGTTAAAGTACGTTATTTCTACAGTACAGATGCACCCTAAGGCATCTGTTGTGAATCATACCATTTTTCGGTTGCTTGAAGCATGGAAATAAATATTCTGGTTTGTGATAGAAGGAAATGGTGAATTGTGTTCACTCCTTCTTCCAGCACTTCCTCTCACTTGTTCCAGATTGCTGCAGAACAAAAAACAGGGAAAACAGACTACTTTCACTGTCTTATTTCACTAATTCAGATCTTGTTAGAGAGGAAAGCTGGGTAAGGGGTGAGAGTTAATTTTGATTGTTTTTAATTTAGGCAAAAGGTGGGATATAAGAAATAAATTATTATTATTAATTATTATTATTCTTTTCCTGTTCAAGTTGGACAGACCACAACCTGCACATATGTTGAGTATTCCCAGAGAATACATATATCAGTTTTGTGTGAACCAACGATTGCATACAAAGGAATAAACTACAGTGGCTTCCAAACTTTGGCCCTCCAGATTTTTGGACTTCAGCTCCCAGAATTCCTGACTATTGGTTAAGCTTGCTGGGGCTTTTGGGAGTTGAACTCCAAAACACCTAGAGGGCCAAAGTTTGGGAACCAGTGGAGGCATAAAGTATAAAAAGAAAAATAGAAGTGGTAATATGTAGTGAATAAATTGCAGGAAGAAATGACTGACTCATGGGAATAAAAATTGTGTGTGTGTGTTTTAATAAGTAAAGCACTGCTTCTGAAATCCATTTTTTGTCTCTTGCAAAATATCAAAAACTTAAACTGTTAGAATGCTGACTTGGAGTATTCCCTAATATTCTCTGAATTTATATACCTATTCCAAGTAATTTGGGTTTTGTAACGAGATAAATGGAAAAGTTTCTTGAAGCCTTCCCTAATATGTATATGTCAAATGATTTTATTTTTGTTTTGGCTAGATCAGTGGAAAGGATTTTTCCGGTTAATTATGAAATTACTGTACATTGGTACGAAAATAAAAATTCATTTCTTCTTACCAGCTGGATGTAATAACTAACCATGTGGTAAGCTAGAAACTGGATACCAAAGTAGCCTGTAGTATTTCTGGAACTTAAGAGGTTATGTTGCTAACTGTTCTATGTTTGAACCTTACATATGGGTTCTCTATTTGCTACTGTACTGAAGTCTTCTCCTTCTAGTTGAAGTAGCAGTGTAGTCCTATAGATCCATGTTCCAGAAATAGGTCTGACTTGAGTTTGATGGGGTTTACAGGAAAGTAGGTACAGGATTGCAGACTTCAAATCATTGTTACAGCAACTATACATCTATCTCAGCATAGGTTGGAAGTGGCCACATTTACATACAACAGTTAACACAGGAGAATACAGATCTTGCCATCTCACACCTGGGGAAGCAGTTAAAGAAACCATACAAAAACAAGAAAATGGCTTAGATTATATCTGAACAGCTGTAAAATAAGGCCAAACTGATTTGTGGTTCTAGTACGTTGGAAGAATGACAGACCAACTTTCCTGATGGGGATGTTGCATTTTTGGCTGTAACTGTCAAATTTCAAGTTTTCTTCACTCAAGCTTTCTGTTTTTCATTTTGGCCCCCGTTTTGGCAGTTAGGAGAAGGGGTACCATTGTAAGGGATTATTTTAAAGAGTAATTTAATAGAGTTCAGATTAATAACTTAATTTTGATTTATGTTGGCCTATAAATCCTTCCCTTTAAAATAGTTGTATTTGAATAAATGTGTTTCAAAAGACAGACACTACTGCTCACACAGTGAGTTCCAGGAATCCTTGGTACAACATGAGGCAACATGAGGGCCTCTGAATGATGTTGTGCTGTACCTTCCATCATCCTTCATTGTGGCTATGGTAACCAGGACTGATGGAATTTGCAGTCCAATGACATCTCGAGGGACACAACATGCTCATCCTAATTTTATACAAAGCTTTCCAGGCAAATGTTTCTAATGCTGGAGTTAAAAAAACATGGAATTTTATTGTTGGTGTTTAGAAGAATTTACTAAATATAGTTACTTTTCCCTCTTCTCAGTGCCTTGCATTCCATGACATTTCTCCACAAGCTCCGACACATTTCCTAGTGGTCCCTAAGAAACCTGTTGCTCAGCTCTCTCAAGCACAAGATTCTGATGAAGCTGTAAGTATGAGGATAACCTCAGACCCTTTTTGATCTTTCCTTTTTGTCTTTATTTTTTAAAAATGCAGAGTTTTGAAGGGTGTTTTTGTTTCTCTGCTGGAAATAGTGAGTAGTAAAATTATGTTAATGTAAGTATTGCCATATATGTATTCGCTCAAGGGCTCACTTTAGATTTTAGATGAGAAATTATCCTTGGATGCACCTTGAAACTTATCTGATTACCTCAAATGGACTTGAGGATTTCATTGATCTGTGTTAAATAGGTCAGGAGTCATAATAGAGTAACATTCATGCTGATAACCTCCATAATTTTTTGTATTTTCTATTCAAAAGCAGATATATCTCTTGATGTACTTCATGCTTCCTTTATCTTTGTATGATCCTCAAATTCAAAATATAAATTCCTTTTCTTAAATATATGTGAAGGTTACATAACTGTGTAATAGGCAGTGCTCTCATAAATCAAGTACACTGGGCCTTTTCTATATGCGGGGGATCTGTTCTGGACACCCCCCCCCCCAGTGTATGGTAAATATCATGGGATCTCAAGTCCCACTGAGTTTTATGGCTGTGCACTCCCAGCCTGTGTGTGCGTGCCACAGGCTTGCCATGCACAGAAGCTTAAGTCCACGTATGGCAAGCCTGCGTAAGAAGTGGGTGTGCTGTATCATGAGATGGCAACTGCCTGATGCTTAAGTAATTGGCTCTGAATAAAATTAATGTGCAGAGTTTAGAAGTAACCAATAACGAATTACCTGTAATCAGTACCTGAGGCAGACAGTGGATCCATTGATGTAAGCCCGTTCCTCCTACAGCTGTGCCATGTTCTATGGGAGAATTTCCCATGCTGAATCTCTGAAGAATACAATTGAGTGCCAGGAGAGATCCCATCCTGCTTGGAGTAGCTGTGGGAAAAGTAATTGTAAAACCAGAAGTGATTTGTTGTACTCCTGGTGACGTATGCACCAGCCATCCCTGGCATGACATTGTGACTGCAGTGTAATAAGAACGCAAAGGGTTGTTTTTAACAAAGTTACAATAGATGCTGGGGGAAGCAGTGGAATGGTAACTATAACTAAATAATTTTAAGGTTAATTTCCCAAGCTCTGTATTATTCCTATCCAAAACCATCAGGGGATGATGAATGTGGAAGTTCTTATTAAAATCCCCATCAGTAACAAAGAAGGGTTGATAAAACTCAAGTCTACATTTCCAGCCCTAAGAATGAATCAGAGCAGAGGAGCATTTTGGATAGAACACATTTTTCCAGTACTTGGGTGTTCTGAAAAATAATTTTGAATTGAAATTTTTCTTTGTTCATTTGAGGAATAAGGGAGTTGGTGCATGGGACATAGTTCAGGTGTTCTTCAAACAGTAATGTAGACATATCAAAGCTGTAAGGTCTGCTGGATCATACTGAAGCTCATAGATCACATCCTGCTTTGGACAGTGCTTAAGACCCATTGGGTGTGCAACTTACCTATGCTGCTTTATTTACACATCTCTGATAAGCATTTTGATTCAATGAAAGCTGAATATCTGAAATACTCATTGACTGAAGTCTGATTCTCTCTGTGTATATTTTTCAAATTAAACTTGCTTTTGCTTTGGTCATTCCAATCTAGTATGTTTGCCTTGATGACTATGGAATGATGTTACTTCTCTTTTCTTTTTCAGCTTCTTGGACACTTAATCATTGTGGGCAAGAAATGTGCAGCTGAATTGGGCTTGACCAGGGGTTTCCGAATGGTGATAAATGAAGGTCCAGATGGTGGTCAGTCTGTCTACCATGTACACCTCCATGTCCTTGGCGGCCGTCAGCTGGGTTGGCCTCCAGGTTAAGAACTAGGGGAAAGGGAGAATATTGCCCTCAAATCATCTCTTGAATTTAGTGAACACATGTCTTGAAAAATCCAACCACTGTCAGTACACTTCAGCTACTTAAACTTTGTTGAGGAGAGTTTGTGGAATCCATGTTCAATAAAGTTCCAAGCATGTTGAATCACCTTTTTATGGTTTTCTTTTGAAATGAGTATTGGTTGTTCCACAGAGCTTTACTATATTATTATCTTTTTCTTCCTTGGAATTCAAGTTGGCACACACAGGATCCAGACCTGTTTTGGT